TGTGATATAGCAAATGGAGGGTCTCACTCAATTCACATAAAACACAATTTATCATCTTTAAACATCCGAACTCGAAAAGAGCAACCCAATATGTCAATGTAAATCTCGCTCAACAGACGAAAGATGACTATTTGGTAGTGCGATTTTCACGTATACTCAACTGGTCTTCTGATGTCAACGCTCTCTCGAGCCAGTCTCCTTGGTGCTTTGTGTGGACAAATTGGGCGATGAAATCCTTTAAGTCACACTTATAATTCTTTTATCCGCCCCATTGCCGAGTACAGAGCAGTACCTTACGGCATACTTTCAGCACGTCTTGCCCATAAATTCACTACACTCGAGAGACGTATACTCCGACGATGTCAATTTCTTCCTTTTTGCTCTTTCTGCGGATAAGTTTTCGAAAACATCTCCAGCACCCCCATTCTCACACGTTTCCAAACCCTCAAGAAACAATACTTTTCTCGCACTCTGAAATACTCAAATACACACTTCTAAAACATTATTCAAACCCCTTGGCGTTCACGCCGCCTCCCACTATTTCGAAAACCGAAAAGAAAACTCCCACAACCTAACTTAGGACTACTTTTGGGAACAAAACCTGCCACACAGGTCCCACGGGTCAGGAAAAATGACTAGGTTACTATTGTAATCAGGGAACACCACCCTGAAAAGGAGAATAACTAACTCCTATATCAGGGTATCAGGAAAAATGTCCTAGAAAAATGTAAAAAAATAGGAAAAATTAAATATTCTATGAAGAGGAGGACGACACCTTAATTCTCATTCTGATTGAATGTGTGTCATTACATAATTCAAGAGCACTATAGGGAGCTTACAAAATAGTAGATGATGATCTACTTACCAAATCTTAAAATTTCTGAGAAAGATATGATTCCAAGGATAATTATAGATATCAAGACCATTTTCTTAGTACCTTAGCCACAAAAGTCTGCGCAATAGATAATTTATGTGTCAGTGTTTCTTGTCAAGAGTACTTATGTATTCTAAACTAATATACTTACTAAAACTTAGTACGTACCTAAATAAAAAAAAACAAAGGTCATTATTTTTTATAAATGAAAAATCGAACATTTCTCCATAATAATTTTGAGTTTTCGTTGTCCAGAATCTAATAGGTTCATCAGGTTATGGGCCCAGGACGATTCATAAATGAAATCTATTAAGGTATAAATACATTTTTTCTGAAAGAACATCAAGTGTATTTTAAAACAAATCTCAAAATTCACTCCACGAATTATTAAGACCATCTTCGAACCCCAAAGGTGAAACCAAATACTTGGAGATTTGAAACAAAGATGTCTGGATTCGAATCCCGGTAGCGACAGGCTTTTTTTCAAATTTCCAAGTATTTGTTTTCAAATTTGGGGTTCGAGGACGGTCTTAATAATTCGTAGGGGGATTTCTGAGATTTGTTTTCGAATTTTGAAAATTATTTTGCAATCTAGGTTTAGTTTGTAACTGAGGGTTATATTATTTTATTGTACTACTGTAGTGTAAGTAAAAGTATACTTAGCTCAAGAGTAGCTTAAGAGTAGTTATGTATTCTAAACTAATATACTTACTAATACTTATTGTTATTTTGTATAAATGAAATATAGTTGTCACTAATATTTTTTTATATTTAGTTTTAATTTTGTTTATCCTGAACCTAAAAAGTTCATAATTTTTGACATTCCATCTATAAGATAAAATCCAAAAAAACCTATGGAATGCTAAAAATTTCATATATAAACAGAATCTGGAGATTTTATGCACAACTAAATTAATACTGTTTACTGGGATGATTTTAAATAAATTTTGATTATTTTTCTACATTTGTAAACCAAGCTATATGTATATTTTTTTTTAGATATACATTCCTGGAATCTATTTCTGTTATGTTGCGCCTGCTCACCTTTATCAGCTTCAATACTGTTCACATTCATGCCAGAAAGTCCAAAATTCCTGATGAGCGTCGGTAGAAACGAAGACGCCCTCAAAGTGTTCCAAAGTATTTACAGCATGAACTCAGGAAGACCGAAAACAGATTTCCCTGTAAGTTAAGAATAAAGGCAACAATGATTTCCTTCAATTATATTTTCATACGGTGAATGAACATTTTAGATGTATTGCTCGACAACTTTGGTTCACCTTGTATATTAGTGGATTTTTTCAGGTAAAGCAACTGATCAGCGAGTTAAAAGGCGAAGACAAAGTTAAAGATAAAAGTGTTAAAGAATTCATCAGCAAAGGTTGGGCAAGAATCTCTCCTGTGTTTTCACCACCCTATATTTACAGACTGGCATTGGCATGTACTGCAGCCATGACTATCTTAACTGGGTAAGATTTTTTTTATTTTGTTGATATGACTTTAATCGTGGTACCAAAATCTGACTATGAACATCTTCGATCATATATCATACTATAACCACTAGATATTTTGCGTCTACTAATGAAAATAATATCTCTAGAATGTTTAATAAAAATTGTATTAAAGAAAATTGTTGAATATAAAATTCTAATCAAAAAATTATATTGTACAAATGTGTAAACTTTAATATGTAAAAATAATGAACATAACAAATTCGCTAGCATTATTTAAAAAATATAAAAATTACAAGATATTATTTTACAAGCAGAAAGTTTAAAAATATGTAATAATATCACGAGCAGCTTATAGAATCGACTGAGGTACAAACTATTGCACTAGCCGAGGTGGCAACCCAGGTAGAATGTAATTTGCCTTCCAACTTTGAACCCTATTGTCGTGCAAATACCTAAAGCCGACCCTGGTCCTCTCACTGTTACAAGCCGCTACTTCGTCTATGTTTCGATACCAGAGAAATCATTGCGCACCGGTTGAGTCACAGAGGAAGAATTTCTAGAGATTCTAGACCGCCGAGAATCTACTAGTGCAAAGCTGGCTTTATATAAATAGCGCGATTTTTTCGGTAGACGTTATGTTTCAATATAAGTGTTGTATAGTAAGGATAAATTGTAATAAATAAATTAGAATTCTTAATTATAATAGTATTAAATAAATTAACTAAAACGTTATGAATAAATTCTAAACTATTTTAAACAAATTAACTGTTTTAAATAAATACATTATTTTTAAATAAAACAATCGTTACACTGGTGTTAGAAGCAGAACTGTAAATAAATAGTGGACAAAATAGCTAAAAACTGCAAGATTTAAAGTGGCTGAATTGCGTTGAGAATTAGATGATGTGGAGACGACAGAGAAGAAAACAAAGATGGCAGAATTAAAAAAGCAATGGAGAGCGAAGGTTTGGATCCGGAAACGTTGTTATTGTCGGATGAAGCGTCTTCTATAATTTCTTCGTTAGAAAGTCAAATGTCAACTATGAA